CTATGTTCAGTGAGACCGGTTTTAACCCAGGCTTTTTCAGACCCAGGCCAGCTGGCCTTGGTGAGTTCCCGATAGGACATCCCCATTGTCTCAGTGTGTGGGTGCCCCCCTCGCGGTCCTGAGTTCCTTGCTCGTGCTCTCTCTCCTGGTGCTCCTGATTTGGACCTTGAGATTTCAGTCCGGTGCTCCAATGTGGGTCTGTCTCTGTCTCCTTTCATCGCCTGAGGATGCCTATATGTTTTTCTTCATTAGCAAAGTGTCAAAAGTGCAAGAAACATAATAACTGCCAGATTGTACTCATGATTAACCATATAAATATCTATGACATAAGTAGCTTATTTAGGAACTCAACTAGCCAGGGCATATAAAGTCAGGTGATAATGGCTTTGGATATATTGAATGAAAGATAGAATGCAGTTAAATAGCATTTCCACTTGAATACATGTAACCCTAAAACTTAGGAAGATATCAGTGTCCTTATAGATTTGAAGTCAAACATACTAAAGCAAGCATGCTGGCTCACACCTGTGATGTTGGCACTTGGAAGGCAAAGGCAGAGGAACCACAGTCCAAGGGTGGTCTAGGCCACATGGGAAGTTAGTAGGCAGCCTGAGTTACACAGTGAGATTGTACCTCAAAGGAACCAAGAGGGACAGAACACTTGCCTGGCATGCACAAGGCCCTTGGATTGATCCAGAGTACTGCAAATTGTGGAGGAGGGAAGCTAAGTGAAGCCCAAACTCATGCACAGGGAATTGATGGCAACTAATAGGTTCTCAAAGTGAAATGGGGTTGGCATCCCCCAATCAGAAAGAAGATTCAGAATCGATCCTTCTTGGCTAACAGTGGAACAAGCACAGATGGGTTAGTGAGACCAACAGGTTCTCTGCATGTTGTTAAAATAATTGTTGGTGATAGTATGAAGTGCAGTGAGGTTCAACATTTCTGATGCTGTGACCTTCAACAATAAAATGTTTTCATTGCTACTTTATAACTATACTTATGCTTCTCTTATGAATTGTAATAGAAATGTTTTTGGAGACAGAGGTTTGTCAAGGGGGTCATGACCCACAGGTTGAGGACCACATGCCTAGCATATTCAAGAGGGGAATGTGAGTTCAATAAGAGACCATTTCTTAAAATAAAGGGCAACAAAAGGATTGAAACAGTTAAGAAAAATTCAAAACAAAAACCAAGTATCTTAGCAATTATTAAAGAAAACTATGATAAGAATGATTAGCTATAACAAACCCAAACAAATTACTTAAAGAAAGTTAGGTAATCACATTTCCATCCACCCAAAGTAACACTGATGTGTTTTTCTCCATGAGGGATTTCTAATTAGTGTGATATTCAGCGTGTAATTACATTTCACTTTATTAAATTAGGACGGAAAGACTCTACTTTCCAAGAGAGAAAATTCAAGCCTCACTGGGACTGTCATGTATTACTTAGGCACATACTTCTCGGAAAAGCAATTTTAATAGTTTTAACAATTTTTTTATACAGAGAGACTTTTCCTTTAATGCCGCAGTCCATGTAATCACTGGATGAACTGAGGGTGCATTCTTTCTCTCCTGGTCAGTGTCTTCTATTTTATTCATGTAAACAAACATTTCACCAAGTGGACATTGGAAAATAAAGTTGTAGGGAGACAGAAAGTAAATTCTCAGACTAAGAAGTAAATGCACCTTTCCCTGGGATGATAACGAGCAAGGCTCATCCAATAAACAGAATGAAAATGTTCAGTGTGCTTAGGGGGAGGGATGCAGCAGAGCGATATTGGGGAAAGTGTTCTAAGCTGCATGCTCATGTGAACCTCCCTCCCTCCGTCTCTCCCTCCCTCCCTTCTTCCTTCTCTCTCCTTTCCTTTTCCCTTCTTCCCTGTCTCCCTTCCCTTCCTTTTCTAGTTTCCTTTCCCTGCTTTCCTCTCTCCTTTACTCTCACCCCTTTTCCATTCCTTTCTTATTCTTCATATTTATGTATCTATATATCTGTATCTCTATCTCTGTATCTATCTCTGTATCTATCTTTGTATCTATCTCTGTATCTTTGTTTCTATCTATCTATCTATCTATCTATCTATCTATCTATCTATCTATCTATCTATCCATCTATCAACTATCTATCTATATTTATCTATCTCTGTATGTATATATCTGTATCTTTATCTATATATGTATCTATCAATCTATCTATCTACCATCTATCTATCTGCCTTCATTTTCCAAGGTGAAAGAGAAGCATACATACATGCAGAATTGTCTAAGATACATCATAATTTCAGAATCAATTACCACTTCTATGAAAAGTGAAATTAAGCTTCTGAGTCCCAGCACATGAAAAGGAAGAGTGTTTCTTCCTTGTTATACTTGACCACTAAAATAACAAATAGACAAAGATGCATATATTCAAGTCTTAGAAACATGGTTTAATTTCCATGATATTAGCTCTGACATGAACTAAAAGCTACTCATATGATCTCATTTATCTTCCTTCCTGCTTGCACAGCCTTGATAATGTTTTGAAGAGGTTAGCCTCCATGCTGAATGTGTAGTTTCCCACCTCTCCTGAACTTTTAGAGACTATCCCAAAAGTCTCTGATGTCTTTAGGGGAATCATTTGTTCTCCTGACCAAAGAAAAACCAAAGCTATTGGTCCTTCAAAGCAGCCCTTGAAAGTACCTGGGATATGAGTGCATGTGAGTACAATTGCCTGTGGAGGCCAGAAACCTTGGCTTCACTGAAGCTGGAGTTACAGAGAGTTGTGCACATGGGGATATGGGTTCTGGGAGCAGAACTCAGGTCCACTGCAAGAGTCATATGTGTTCTGAACCACTGAGCCATCACTCTAGCCCCCAACGTTTGCATTTTCTTAAAAGTATGCATACTTCAGTGCAGTGACTTTCAGTTTTGTGAAAATAAACACAGGTAGCAGCATTCGTTAGCATCTTACGAGGAACCAGACATGCTTTAGAGATTTGCTATATCGTCAGGACTGCACCACACGGAAGCTGCTGCACCCAAATTAGTATTTATAGATACAGAATCTGGGGTGCAGAAATACAACCAGGCCAGGAGTTTTCTGAATGGGACAGTGAGGTTTGAAGTTAGGTTTGGGCTGCTTCAGGATCTCTTTTTTAACACTTCAGCTCAGTGTAACTGTGATCTCCTAATATAAAGGAGTGATTGATTACACATGGCTTATAAGAAGAAGCTGACGTGTATATATGCACACACACATTTTTAATAAAAAAGGGGGAAAGAATGAATGTGGCTAATATCAGTTATACACAGTCTTAGTGACTAAAAGCAAATTAAATGTCCTGGTTTACTTCCAGAAACATCTGAGAGATATAAAAGTGCTTGCTAAACTTAGTAGCATTGAAATCGAAAACAATTAAGTAATATAACACATAAATATCCATGTATGTATATATCTATGACCATATTGTGGATGTCTGTGTTTTGTGTGTAAGTGTTTACTTTTTGTGGAAGTTATTTGACAGGGAATATGGACTGGCAGATTGTTAATGGGCTAAGCCAGCATGTAGTCTGATAATTGGATAAATTGGACACAGTATGCTTCTGTTTACTTTGGAACCTGAAAATGATGGGGACATTTAAACACGGGGATGGCAGATGGTGAGTCCTCTTCTTAGAAAGTCCCCCATCACTAAGGCTTTATTCCAATGCCCACAGTAGGCAATATCCCCTTTTCTTTCTACATTTTTTTTTAAAAAATCCAGAACAAATTTATTAACCATATAAATCACTGAGGTAACAAAATCCTAAACAAAGATAAAAGCAGAAACTGGACAAGAAATAAGAAGGAAGGCTCTAAGATCAAAAGAAGTGAACTAAAACTGTTTCCCCACAGATAGCCCCCAAACCAACAAAAACTCAGAGAACACATAGCAGAAATCAATGAATTTTCACAATATAAAAATAGGTGAAGACTCTTCATTTACAGAGAAACTAAAATATAATTAGATTGTAATTATTAAAAATACTCAATGATGGCACCACTGAAAAAAGGAGACACCAGGCAGACCTATAAATATAACACTGTCTTTTAAATAAGAACTAAAGATTATAATCAAAATCAAAGAAAGCACTGTCCAGTACTCAATCTGTGTGTTCCAGTTCTTTAGACTCCCACCACTTTCTGCTTCCAATATGCTAAGAAGTACACATTGCCCCTGCCGCCGCGGTGTTCTGCCCAGCCATGTGGAGGCAGGCCACCACGGACTGTGTCCTTTGAGGCTATGGCCAAAATAAAACTTTCCTTTCTAAAGAGAAAAAAAAAAGGACAAGAATGTTATTAGGACTGCATGCTAAGTACCATAAAATTAGGCAGAACACTTTGTGACTAGTGAAGAGAGCCAGCTCTAGCTTGAATGTGAAATGTTCCCTATAGGTTGAGAGGTTTGAACACTCAGTCCCTAGTGGATGATACTATTTTGGGAGGCTGTGGATCTTGGGGAAGTAGAGCTTCCCTGGAGAACATAGGTCAGTAGGGGAGGACATTGGGTGGGGTTTAGATCTAGGCTGTACTTTCTCTCATCTCTCTGCTCCTCAGTCCCAAAACAAGAGCAGGTGGCCTCATACTTCTGTGGCCACAGTCTTAATACAATCTCCAAACCATGCTTTCCTGCCATAGTGGAATATAATCTCTCAAATGTGAGCCAAATCAAACTTTGTTCTATTTAAATCCCTTTTTGAAAGATATTTGACCAAGGCATTATGTAAAGTAGTAAATACTGGATCCTCAAACAATCCATTGCCCAAGTTATACGACATTAGAACTCTCTCTCTCTCTCTCTCTCTCTCTCTCTCTCTCTCTCTCTCTCTCTCTCTCTGTGTGTGTGTGTGTGTGTGTGTGTGTGTGTTGTCAATGGGAAAAGAAAGGAAGTGGGCATCACTAAGTATATGGTAGTATAGTTATTTGTAGTCTCTCTGTCTCTGAAAATGTTTTCTTTCTCAAATTTGCAACAGGCCAAAATAGACAGCTTGATATTAAACTGAGGATAAAAGTCATTTTTGTGTGAAATATCAAAAGACCATGTGCTCATAATATAAATATAGAGGACTGAAATATATAAGAAAATATCTTATAAAAAGTGACTTAAGAAAGGAAAAATGATGGAAAAACACAAGAACCAATATCTATGAAGTCTAATATATTCAGTAGTTACTGTCCCCTAAGTAAGCATGCCGAATCATTTTCAACTGCCTTTGAAATATGCTCCTGTCCTCCAAATGCTTTACCGACAATGATGGTGTTACTTTTGTGTTTTTTTTTTATTTATTTCTAGTAAGATCCTAAGCATTAAAAGTAAATAATTTAAGGGGGCTGACCAAACTAATACATAATTTCAAGAGTTAACTTCTAGAATGCAAAGGCTCCCCCTGCTTTCCTTGATGAGAGTGTCCTATGTTATATTGACTGTTAAAGTGACTGAATTGAACTTTGACATCAATCTCAATAGTATATACCTATCCCTGCTTAATGTCTCCACGTGATGGCTCTTTTATTTATACAATAAGCTACATGTTGGGAAAATACTCATAAGGGAAATAATCCACTGCAAATAACCCCATGCATTCTTGCCATATATCCTAGCTACTTGCAGATGGTTTTCTTAGCTGTGCAGAAAGGGTGCTAGGAGCTGAGAGGGTCTGCAGCATTCCTCTTGATGCCTTAGTAGCCTCAGGACCATAACAGATGAGACTCTGCACCACACAAATGCAATGCAAATGCGTGAGTGAGATACTCCCTGGTTCCTAGGACTCTTGCTATACTTATCTAAAAATCACAGTAGAGTGGTTGTATGCAGGCCTACAGGCTGACAAGTAGAACTAGGAAATAGAAAAAAACTAAGAGCTGTTTCCACCAAAACAAAACAATAAATTTACTGTCTGGAAATTATGGCTTCCTGGGGAATCAGAGGCTAATTGTTTGATTCAAAGAGTATTGTCAGGAAGGAGCATTGGTTCCATGCTTAGCCCTGAAAAGGGATTTGTTAAACCTACAAGTACTACGTCTAATCTCACAGAGGTCAAGCAAAGTGGCTTGTATATAATGGAGATAGCATCTTATGTGAGAGGAGCCCTCCAGTACTATGCGATCACTAGGGTTAGTGTGAGATAGCATGGAGTGTGTAAATGAACGATAATGACCTTGTGATTTTATAAAAAAAAATCATTTACTGAGTTCTAAATAAATAAGTGTGCAATGTCTAGTAAGAACAGGACTGTCTAACTCTGGTAAATTTGCAGAAACAGCGCTCATTCCAAAAGAATTAAAGATTCAGCTTATTCTGGAGTATGTATGGGTGACTGTGGCCCAAGATCACTTATTTAGGTTACCCCCAAATGATCCATATCAGCAGCAGTATCAGGAAGTTTTTAACCAAACAAAAAGTCACAAACCAAGACAACATAAAAACATTAATGGGCACATCAGAGAGGCAGTTGCAGAAAGATGGAGCAAGCTTTCCATAGGCCTACAGTGTTATCTCGGGACATCCTTGGCTTTGGGGTTAGTGGAAGCTAGCAGGCTGCTACACTGACAGATTTCAGAAAGGTTTTTATCTATTAGTCACAAGATGTTAGTTCTGAGACTGAGGTCAGCAAGGAATGCCAGAATCAGTCCAAGACAAGGCAATTAGCTTCTGGACCTGCAACATGTCTACCTCTCCACAGTTCTGTGGTTTTAATCCATCATTCTCTGCAGATACAGATTCTTTCCAGGAATCTGTTCCCAACAATAACCAGGGTGGGATTCCATAAGAGACAGCAGATAGAATCAATCTTTACCTGTATCATTTCCATGAGTGTCTAATTTGTGTATTTGTGAGCTGAGGAAAATATAACTCATCTGCCTTCTTCTACTTGCCCTATAAACCCAAAGTTGCTAGTGTCTGTGGTGGTCTAGCAGGAATAGCCCCCATAGATCCATGTATTTGAATGCTTGGTCTTTAGGGAGTGATGCTGCTTGACACAGACTAGAGGGTATGACCTTATGAGAGGAAGTGTGTCTCTGGGGGTTGGCTTTGGGGTTTCAAAGGCTCAAGCCAGTCCCAGGGCCTCTCTCTTCCTGCTGCCTGAGAATCCAGATATATAACTCTCTCAGCTCTTTCTCCCATACTATATCTGCCTGCATGTACCCATGCTTTCTGTCATGATGATAATAGACTAACCCTCTGAAACTGCAGAAAACTCCACTTAAATGCTTTCCTTTATAAGAGTTGTTATGGTGCTGTGGGACAATGGTTTTTCCCTGTAAAGATTTGTTTCTTGTACTTGTTTAAGAAAATACTGATTGGCCAATAGCCAGGCAGGAAGTATAGGCAGGGCAACCAGGAAGGAGGTAGAGGTGGGGCAATGAGAACAAGAGAATTTTGGTAGAAAGAAAGAGGCAGTCTTCAATTGTCACCCAGACACTGAGGAAGCCAGACACAGAGAAAGCAAGATGTGACTGCCATACCCCAAATGGTACCAAGCCATGTGGCTAACACAGACAATTATTATGGGCTAATGTAAGTTATAAGAATTAGTTAATAAATAGTTTGAGCTATTGGGCCAACCAGTTTATAATTAATGTAGCCCTCAGTGATTCTTTGGGATTTAACAGCTGTGAGGACCAGGAAGAACAGAAACTTCTGTCAACACTATGATCATAGTATCTCTTCTTAGCAAGAGAACACTGACTAAGAAAGTGCCTTTGGATGATTTTCTGTCCCTTGCATGGGTTGAGTTTTAAATGCATTTCAGTTAAATGATTATTTGACCCCATATTTGGCAAAGGGTAGGAAGGTAATATAAGGGAAAATAGAAATCTATACTATACATTGTCATGAAAATACTCTTTGAGCCAAGTGCAAGATCTATTCTTCCCAACTTCTGACTTTTATTTTTTGTTGTTAAAGTGAAAATCTTCTTTTTTTTATTTAAACAGAAAAGGGGAAATGGTGTGGGAGGTCCTTCTGTCTATGTGTTGCTTTTATTGGTGAATGAATAAAGAAACGACCTTGGCCTGTTGATAGGGCAGAGTAGAACTTGGTGGGGAAAACTAAACTGAATACAGGGAGAAAGAAAGTGGAGTCAGGATCGAAGCCATGTAGCCCTGTCAGAGACGGTTGAGGAAACTTTACCCAGTAACCACAGCCTCATAGCAATACACAGATTAATGGAAATGGGTTAATTTAAGATATGAATTAACCAGAAATACACTTAAGTTATTGGCCAAAGAGTATTGTAATTAATTTAGTTTCTGTGTGATTATTTCATGGCTGAGCAGTGGGGAACAAACAAGTGGCCTCCTACAACATTTATAATCTTATGACATTACAGAATTACCCAGCTCCTGAAATCACAACAGTTCTGGTTCCCTAAACAACAACTACCCAACATCAAGGCAGTCAGCCTTCCATTATGAAAGTGTGATTCATTCCCCACTTCTCCTTAGCTAAGGAGCTATTAAAATTTAATGTCCATAAGGAGAGGGAGTGTCTGGTTTTTGTTGTTTGTTTGTTTTGTTTAAAGAGGTAGTCCTTATAGTTCCTCAGTGCTTGAATGGAAGACCCTATTACCATACAATCAAGCAATAATGAGCAGAGAAAACTGGACTCAGTAAGTTATTTAAAAGCAACAACAAAAATAGAGGACATGAAATTAGAAGGAAGTTGCAAGGCCTAAGAGATGTTAGGGGAGATATGGAGGTAAATATAATCAAAATACTTTGTAGGCATATATGAAAGTCTCAAAGAATTGATAAAATGAGATTAAAAAGTCAAATCCAACCAAACAGAAAATAGATCTAATATACAGATTTATCTTTTAAATAAATTCTTTTTAATTTGTAAAATTCCAACCATTTGTTGAGACAACATCTTGCAATTTTTTAAATAAAGTACATATACTTCAGCAAAATGAATTTTAAATTGGGGTCATTTAGATGGTTAACATATTAGTATGGTCTTTAAATTCTTCAATCATTTTATAGGTAAGAATCAGAAAAGTGAAGATCACCTTAATCGAAGCCTAAAGAGACTTTCTTATCTCAGTAGGAAAAGTGATTCATTTAAATGTATAAAGGAAACTCTGGGAGGTGACCCACTTTGTTAGAAATAAATTCAGAATGTCTTCAACTGAAAAGTAGTAAAACATCATTTCTATTAAGTTTTTATAAGCAGTACCTGATTACCCAGCTTATCTGTTAAATCCCTAGGATTTATAAATCAAATTTTAAAATCAATTTTACTAGGACCTGACACTTACAATTTGCTCCTGTCTCTTTTACATCATGGACACCAATGACACTGATACTTCACAGCTTAGTTAGTGTGCTAAAATCTCACCTAAAGTACAAAAAAATGTAATCTTTAGGTATAAGGGCAGATAAAACTTAACTCTTATTTAGCTGGATATATTTAATACATGCCTTAGTGTTTGTTAACTATTGAACCATTAGACATGTGTGTTTATTTGAATGAAAATGACTTTGATAGGCTCATGTACTTGTAGGTTTGGTCTCCAGTTGTTGAAACATATTGGGAAGATTAGTAGATGTGGCTTTGTTGGGGGAGGTGTGTCACTTGTTATTGTCCACCACCATCCTGGATTCTAACCTTCTGAAGCCTTAAGCCAAATATAC